AGATGTTACCTAGCCGGGTAATGAAATGTTTGCAAGCAAAGAACCAAGCTCAGAGAACCCCAAGGACTCCACAGTTGAACCCTGAGCTACACATATTCACCTCTATTGATTTATTGTGCATGTTTTTGTCAACTAAATGCACACAAGCATCACAGGTACATATCTATTCTGGGATTGTTTCTGAAAATCTCCTTTGTGGTCCTGTTCTATTGTCAGGCAGGCTAAAGAACAAGTAACTCTCATCCCAGTCAGCCATGAAATGGCCTATTCATTGCCACAACTGTTTATTTACTTTGAGGATTATTTTTTTCCCCTTTCTTGCTATTCACAGTTACAGCTTAATTCCCAACCCATAAAAGAAGCCTAATAACTAGGGATAACTTTGTAGGCTTGTTGTAAAACAATCAGAGCCAGAGTTTTACTAGCTTCAAGCGATGGACACTTAATAATCTGCAATTTGGGGGCATAAACTGTATTTCTTTGCAATATGTATCACCATGGTTATTGGATGAAGTTTCACAATAGATAAGAACTAAAAGCAGTAACTTAGTCTGCTGATACTGTGTTGGGGCAGGAAGATGTAAGATGCACACCTGGTTCCAAATTCCTTAAGGATCTTAGATGTTTTGACCTCATCTATGTATAGTATAGTATAGTATAGTATAGTATAGTATAGTATAGTATAGTATAGTATAGTATAAATATAATATAATCCATCATTGGAAGACCTGAAAGATCAGATTAGGGACAAATTGTCATGGAGAAAATCTATCTATGTGGTCACTAAGAGTTGAAAATGAGCATATAATCAATCAAAAATTATATTAAACAGATAGATATAAATATAGATATATAATCTATCGATCTAAAATTCCCTCATAAAAGAGGGCAAGAACTAATTCCTGTCTCTGCCCTGAAAAAGAGGAAATTATAGGTGGTGGTGATCAGAGACTCTCTCTGTCTATTCTGATGGTGCCAGTGAGCGCAGTTTGGATTCTTTCATAATATAATGCATTTCCAAAATAGAAAGAGATGGGCTGTACTTCATTAAAACAAGAAAGAACATGTTTGGAAGGTATCTTGCAAACCTGATGCAGCGGGCTTTAAACTGACTCTCCAAGGGAATGAAAAAGCCCAGAAAATAATATAATACCAAGTATTGGGACTAGGAGAATATGTAGGATGTGGAAGCACCCAATAAGTGAGCATGTGAATACATGAAACAATAGACAAGCTATGCAACTCAAGGATTCCCGTATTTTTATACAAATCTAGAAAGTATGAGGAAAAAGCACAGGAAGTTGTAATGCGGGAAGGCAAATATGACTTAGCACACATTACTGACAACTAGTGGGACAAAACTCATGAGTGGGATGAGGGATTGAATGGTATGTCATTCAAAAGGAAGAGGCTAGACAAAAGGAGAGGAAAAATGGCATTATATGTGAAGGAACTGCACAGATGTATTAAGATCCAGAAATTTCAGCACAAGAGTCCAATGAAGAGCATTCAGTAATAATACAACTAATGGAAAACAATAAACATTATCGTTTATTTTTTATGTTTTATTGATTTTATTGTAATTTCTTTGTAATTTTATTGTTGTGAGCCACCGAGTATTGAGAGTTGGGCAGCATACAAGATGATGATGATGATGATGATAATTATTATTATTATTATTATTATTTTCCCAGAACTTTCAGGATGAGACTACAGGTGTCAAAAATTCCTCAGTGATCTCTGTTTTGCTCTTCCATATCTGTTTCAAACCAACAGAGAAGAATTAGTTTAAGAGATAAAAACAGTAAGAATTATGGGAGGAAGTGACCACATTGTCCTGGAGGTTCAATATATTGCAGAAAGAGAAACTGGACCATAATAATACTAGATTTGAGGACAGCCAATTTCAACAAGCTTAAAGTAGTATTAGGGACCATCTCATGGTCAGAAATCACCAGGCCAAAGAATCTGTAGGACAGCTACAACTTGCAACACCATTCCAATTATTTTAAGACAAGGGCGGAGCCCCTCTATTCCTATTTTGCTTCGGTTCAAAAGACAAAAGAAAGGAGTGGCAACCAAAGAGATTGGTACCATGATCAAATTATATCTTCAGGACCAGACTTACTAAATCTGAGTGTCTTGAAAGAGCTTGTGGATATCATCTTGGAGTACCTATGATTTTTAAGAAAGCATGGAGAATGGACATAATGCCAGAGGATTGGAAAGGATTAAATATATTCAAAAAGGAGGAAAAAAGTGGGTTAGGGTTCCACAGCAAAACTGTGGAACAGATTATTAAGCAGTTGGCTTATGAGCAGGAGCCATAAAGGTTTAACAAGAATAAATCATGCTACACCATCCTGATGTATGTCTTGTCATTTTTTGGTAAGAGTGAGCAATTTAATTGAGCAGAAATATAGTGGACACATCATACCTTGCCTTCAGCAAAGCATTCAACAAGGTTTTCCATGAGATTGTAGTAGAGAATGATGAGAAGATGACAAAATTTGGGCAGGACATGCTACAATTATATATATAGAGAGAACTAGTTGAACAATCATATTAGTAGCTGCACATTAAGATGGAAACAACTATCAAGTGGCCTATTGCAAAGCTCCATTCTATCCCCTGGGCTGTTCAACATATTTAAAAGAGCTTGATAATTATCACATGTATGGATGACACAAAGATATGAGACATAGCAAACATAGATGACAATATAAAGATTCAAAAATATATTGAAAAGCAGAAACAATGAGTGGAAACCAGCAAAATACATTCAAACAGAAAAATGCAAAGCCTTACACTTGGGCAGTAAAAGTATGCAGTTTTATTCTTAACAAAATACCCCAAGTTTCTAAGTACTATATATAATAAATAAAAATAGCTACAAATACACCAAACTTACAAATATTCTACTTAAAGGTTCTTACAGTTTAAACCTGGAGAAACTAATTTCACAACCTCTCCTTCATTGCAAGTGTAGAGTAAGAGGTGAAGAACCTATCAAGCACCTAAATAAGTATTGTTCAGGGGCCCATGTTGAAGTGTGGGATAAATAATACACTTTCAGAGACAGTTGAATTCTACAGGTCATGCTCTGGAATATTAATCTGTTTGGAGCAATCTAGAAACACCAAGAGAAAAGGTATGGTTTTCATAATCCTCAAGATGTTGGGAATGAATTCTGTATCAGAAATAACTAAAAATACTGGTAGATTCTGTTTATTTCACACTGACATAATTTCCATGGGCAATTAGTGACTACCTTCTATGGACATCAAGGAGATGTGAATGTATGTAAGGCCTGCTTATACAACTGTCTACATTTTTGTTTTATATTTAATTTGCAATAGCATGAATTGAGTTTTGCATTCTTATCCTTATCAAGCATGTTGATCTAGAATAATTGTAGTTACTTTTATATCTATGTTGAGAAAAAAGGAAGCTAAAAAAAGTCTACTTAATTATATTTACAATAAAACCCAAATATGGAGAAAGCATAAAATAGCTGTGAAGAAGTTGTAGTTACCAAGCAAATAATTTCATACCTTGATGCTGATCCATCACTGTAATAAATTTTAGCTACTACATTTCATACCAGTTCAGATTATTGTTTGTAGTTCTGGTATTAATAATAACCTTCTTATGAAGTAAACTAATCTGCATATTCAGCTCAGCAATCATGGACAGAAGTTAAATTACTAATTATAAATATTTCTATTCACTAGGAAAAATGTAAGTAATTTATTATTAGGGGTGTGCAAACATTGATTCAAAACAGGATTTTAATTTCACCAGAAGACTTCCAATGCTGTCCTGACCTTACTAGAAGTATTCTGAGCTCAAATGGAAGCTATGCTTTTGCAACATTTTAAATGCAGGCATTTATCCCACTAGAAATTGGAATACTTCCACCCGTTCCTGACAAATATGTCTTGGCGACACTTGGAAAAATGTGGGAAAAATAAAACAGAATAATCAATGTATTTACAGGTCACAATGCCTACTTCAAATTCTTTGTTGCATCAACAGTGGGACATCTTGCTTATATCGCTCATGTCCTGTTTGTTTCAATTTTATTTATTTAATTCTTTAATGCTTGTTGCCTTGGAAATTTACCTATGGGAGATTAGAAAGCAGCAAAATATTCTTGGATGCAGAAATTTTACAAGGATTCCACCTGATCTGAACAGAGCCTATTCCAACTGACTGGAGAAGTGATGATCTAATGGTAACTTCCACAGTTGAGAAGTTTTTCCATTTTACAAATGTATAAGGTAAATAGTTTATTCCCATTTTAACAAAATTAATTGACAGTTTTGTCCTTATCCTTTCTGGTAGGATAATAACTTTAAAACATAATCCACCTCAGAATCTTGATGAAATATTGAATTACTATTAGACCAACACTAATGATAGAATTGAGGCAAACGTGATGATACAACATGCCAATTACATTTAAGCCTCTCTTTAGTAAATACTACGCAATCAGCCCACAACTGAACCAATATTAATATGTTTAAATGACACTGAATGCTATGAAGCATGGAATGCTTTTTATTAAATCAATTAAAATTATAGTTATAGAATTATAATTACTTTGGTTCAGCTGGATTGTGTATTTAAAGGACGCATGCTGTTTACTGGACAGTCACAATAACTCTTAATTGTACATATCAGTAAACAACCTGTTATGTTTATTTATTGGTTTGGATAGAGTCACATAGAGCATTTGTTATCAACATTTTTAATCTTTTGTCCTAATTTCAACTTCTGAAAAGCTATTCCAGAAGCTAAAGAATTGTACATGGAAGATGCTACTCATTCTAGTCTAATCATGCAATCCTGTATCCAAAACATTATGCTTGATTAAAGAGCATTTTCTTTAAAGTTCTTTATTTAATTTAAAGCCTAATGGTAAACATGCTGATTAGATGGTTATAATTTCTGCTTTATCAACATTTTAAATCCAGGCATGAATATAGTTAGTTTGAATTAATGCATTTAAGCCACATTGCTTAAGAGAAACAGAAATTCATTAAAATAAATAAAATACATTAAAACCCTTTTTAGATGGTTATTTGCCCTTGTGCACCCTTCTTTGTGGAATAACGGGATTTAAAAGTGGTAATACACAATTACATTTTAAGAAATCCAGATGTTGAAATAAATCAGGACAAGTACCGTATTTTTCCGACAATAAGACGCCGCCATGTACAAGACGACCCCTTTTCCAACCCAAAATTAAAAAATCAATATTTTAAAGATAGTGCAGAACACATTTTTATT